CTGGAAGCCTCATCTTCCTCCTCCTCTTCAGCAGAATCCCAGGGGGGTCCCCAGCCGAGAATCTGCCCAGGGGTCTCTCCGTCCTTGTTCTTTATGCCCATGGCGGAGGGGCAGCGACTCAGCAGTGGCAGGAAGAAGTCCGTGTAGGCTGTTGACGAGAGAGCAGTGGGCAGAGGTCAGCCAGGACTCCTGCTCCTGGGCAGGCCGCCATCTTGGATTCTGCTGGTTACTCTCTGCCTCGGTCCCAGGGCAGCGGGCAGGGTGGCCACAGGGATGCCTCCTGGGCACCGGGCAGTAACCATCCCGGGCAGACACAGACCGACGGTTTACCACAAGCGTGATAAGCTTGGTAGTTAAGACATTCTAACCAGTGTCTGTCCTCACAAGCATTTTAGTGTCCTGGGAGCTCCTGATGTCAGATGACATTTTCTGGCCTGACTCCAGCCACTGCAGACAGTGACAAAATCCCTTGATTATTATTATTATTTTGGTAAAGCGTGCATGTGCACACTGGAGAGAGAAAGTGAGAGCACCCCCCGGGGGATGACTGTGCCACAATCTCGTCTCCATTCTCCCCTCGGGATATTTGGGCATGCATGCACATGCGCCTAGCGTGTCTTTCAAACCCCTGGGGCTGGGAGTTGAACTGTGCAGTTGGCTACGAGGGGTCCAGCTGCCTAAATCACCGTACCACCTGGTTGGCCCTATGTATCTATTTTGGGCCTGGACATATTGTCATTATATATCCCTCGTGTTTCCTCCTGAGACTGTAACTCAGACTGCCAAAATATCTGGAACTCTACTCTGTACCATCATAAATGTACGGATATATCGTATTTATCATTTTATGTCACTTAAGAGTTTCTTTGTTGGAACCAGCAGTTAGTGTAATGGCTATGTCGCTGGACTCCCATGTAGTCGACCGCGGTTCGTGTCCCGGACCTGGTGGCTTAAAAAACTCATGCTGGGTGCGTGTGCGTGCGTGCCCAAGATCCCGAGAGGAGAATGGAGAAGGGATTGCAGCGTGGCCATCCCCCCTGGGGGGTGATTTCTCGCTTTCTGTCTCTCTGTCTCTCTCTGTCTGGCGAGCGCATGCGCCTATAGCAAAAACCTCTCAAAAAAAAAAAAAAAAAGAGTTTGTTAAATGCCAAGGCTGTGTGCACTCGCCAGAGACTGAAAAGCAAGTACCCTGCGAGGGGGCGTGGTCACACCACGATCCCGGCTCCATGTCTCCATCCTTTCAGGAACTGCACGCTCACATGGCTGGCGTGACTTCCAAGCCACTGGGCCAAGATCTGAATCATGGACAGCCAAGTGGAATCCAGCGTCCTTAGCCAGTAGGCTATGGGGGTAGTTGTTTTGTTTCATGAGAGAGAGTCAGACAAGCACCCTGGACAGTCTCACGCCACCCCTGCTGCTCTTCTCAGCCAGCCAGGATCATGGACGTGTGTCCAGGGTACACGGCGACCTTGGATCCACGCTTGGCTCTTTCACATGGCCTAGTGTTGTACAGCATGGCGTATTCACTGTGCCACTGCAGCAAGGCCTCGTTTATATCACTTTTCAATAAACTGAGGAAAACAGCGTTTTCAGGGGAATGTCTCTCGTGCAGCCTCACCCAGGGCATGCTGGAAGGAGGGTGGAGGTGTAGACCGGCAAATGCATTGGGGTCACAGAAATGCTGCCAGCAGCAGAGCAAGCACTTTCTAAATGACTGTGGACCTTGGGCAGGGGAGAGGAGGCTAAGATGGAGGGTCTCCCTCGAGGGCTGGAGAAATCCTTGTGTTCATGATGCCTGCTTCACTGCCAGCACAGGCGGCCTGGCCAGGCCTGCCTGCTGTGGCCACCATCACCTCCTCTCGAGGGACCAGAGGAAGGCGAGCGAAGCAGCCTCCCTTCCTGTGGACCTACTTTCTCTCCCCGGGGTAAGAGGAAATGGGCCAGCAGTTCTGCCTTTTTACTCCACCGGGCTAGAAAGCACGGTCATACCTGGCAGAAAGGCAGGACGGGCCCAGTTTCAGCTGGCCAAGGCTCACCACTGCCCACTCAGACCACATCCGGGCAAGGGGAGGGGCGCCTCTCCTTGGTCTCCCTGTGACCAGTCACCGTCCCTCCCATTTCATCCTCCCAGTGACTACCGGGTTCTGTCTTGCCACTGCTCACTCCTCACCAGGGCTTGCTGCTAGTGTGAGGGTGGATGGTGCTCAGGCACGTATGGGAGGTTCAAATCCACAGGTTTTGGGGCCAGCAGGTGCGCAGTGGTTCAGGTGCTGGACTCCCACATGGCTCACCAGGGTCTGAGTCCCAGACCCGGAGGCTTGAAACTCACGTCAGCCCGTATGCCTGTGTGCCCCAAATCCCAGGAGAATAGAGAAGGGACTGTGTTGTGGCCACACCCCTAGAAGGTGATTTCTTTCTCTCCCTCTGTCTCTGTCCAGTGAGTACATGTGCCATATAGTGAAAATCTCTCTCTCAAAAAAAAAAAAATTCCTGGGCTTTAAGAAGTAAGGCCTTCAACTGTAAAACCGTGATAAGTAAAATACGGTACAGAATATTAAATAGCCACTAAAAATGATGTTTTGTGTGAAAAAAGCTGAATATAAAACTGTACATAGGGGGACCAGCAGTTAGCATAATGGCTATGTCGCTGGACTCCCATGTAGTCAACCACGGTTAAAGTCCCGGACCCAGTGGTTTAAACCCACGCCGGATGCGTGTGTGCGTGCGTGCCCAAGATCCCGAGAGGAGAATGGAGAAGGGATTGCGGCGTGGTCATCCCCCCTGGGGGGTGATTTCTCGCTTTCTGTCTCTGTCTCTGTCTGTCTGTCTGGCGAGCGCATGCGTCCTATAGCGAAAACCTCTCCAAAAAAAAGAAAGAAAGAAAGAAGAAAGAAAGAACGAGAACCAGACTGGAAGGAAATATGTAACGTTCTAGTCTCTGAGTGGTAGGACTATAAGGTACTTTCTCCCCTATTTTATTTCATTGATATTTTATTGTGAAAGAATATAATTAAGTTGCAATTTTCTTTCTAAAGGAAGAAAGAATAAAGGCGATAACTATTAACAGTTTGCTGTGGTCTCTTCCAGTCCTGTCTGGATGTACATAAATGCATACAGATGAGAAATTTATTTAGAGGCGTGTGACAGTGCTGTTCGGCAACTTGTTTTTTTCATCTAAAATCGCATCTGTATTTTTCCACAGGAATATATAGTCTGCTCCGTTCTTTTTGATGATTGTGTAGTTAGTGTTCCACTGTGTGTATGAAACAAACAAATCTTCCCACCTCCCATCGACAAATTTTGTTTCCAAAAATATGTGGCCTCGTACATAAACTTCTGTGGACTCATTACAGTATTTCTGTGAAGCAGGTTTTCACAAGTGGAATCTATGAGTCAAAGAACATGCACAATTTTGCTAAATTGCTCTCAATAAACTTCTGCCAAGAATATACACATGTGCTTATATTTTCTTAAACCAAAGTTAAATATTATAACCCCCTTTTACTTGGCCAATCTGATGGATTAAAAATGATTAATGAAGTTTTCCCTTTCATATGTATTTTGGCTATTTGTATTTCTTTTGTGAATGACTTGTTTATATTCTCTATCCACTTTTTCCATGGAAATTACGTATACTGATATGACAGTTATTTATACTGTATGGGGGCGGGAGGGCGGGGGTGTCTTCAAAAATTAATTAAAATGTGTATTATGAAAAAACTACTAACGGATTTTTAAAAAATTTTGCACTAAAATAGACTTATGCTTTAATTCCGTTTTCCACAAACTTTTTGAAGTTCCCTCATATATCATGTCTATTACATATATTCTAAATACTTTCCCTATCTGTCAAAGTTTTATGTAGCTGAATATATATTAATGTTTTTGGACTTTTTAGCGTATATTTACTTTTACCTTTTTAAAATGACCTTTACTTTAAAAGTTCAAAAAAGTACAAAGTACAGTACAATAAATACCTTCTTCCTACCATAGGTATGTTGATAAACTCATCTTTTTTTTTTTTTTTTTTTGAGAGATTTTTGCTATAGGGCATACGTGCTCGCCAGACAGACAGAGAGAGACATAGAGACAGAAAGTGAGAAATCACCCCCCGGGGGGATGGCCATGCCGCAATCCCTTCTCCTCCATTCTTCCCTCAGGATCTTGGGCACGTATGTACACATGCCTGGTGTGGGTCCAGAACTTGAACTGTGGTTGACTACACGGGAGTCCAGCGACGTAGCCATCACGCCATCTGCTGGTCCCGAATAAACTCATTTTTACAATATAATTTTATTTTAAAAAACTAAAACTATCGAGGCCAGCTGGTGGCATGGTGGTTAGGGGTGCTCATCTCCTGTATGGCCAACCACAGTTTGAGTTCTGGACCTGCTGGCTGGCTTTCTTGCTTTCCCTTCCTCTGTTTGTCTCTGTCTGGTTGAATTAAAAAAAAAAACAAAAAACCCACAAACAAAAACAAATGGAATTAAATAATTGTTTAAAGAAAGAAAAAAATAACTAAAACTGTCATAAATAAAGCTAAATAAAGCTAAAGTTTTCTTTGATATCACTTTCCAAGTTTTATTTCTCGTTAGGGGGTAACCACTCCTATGAACTTGTCATGTACCTTCCTGTCACAGCTAGGTGTTTAATCTGCTGGAATTTACTTTTGAGTAAGGTGTGAGGTAGGATTCTCTATGTCCCTAGATGAGCCAACTATTCTAATATCATTGATTAAATAATTCACTCCCTCCCAATGCCACCTTTATCAATGATTTAGCAATATAGATAAACTTTCCCTATATATATATATTTAGTTATTTATTTCCCCTCAGAGGGCACCTGCACTTGCCCAGGGACAGAGAGGGAGCGGGAGAAAGCACCCTAATGGGGTGTGGTCACGACACATCCCTTTTCTTCCCTTTCTCCACCCTGTCAGTATTTCAGGTACACATGCACATGTGCCTCGCATGTTTTTCTTTCCCTTAAAAAAAAAAGATTAATTTTATTCATTATTATTATTTTCTTTAATTTGCTACAGAGCTCATGTCCTCACTAGAGGGAGGGAGAGAGAGTGAGAGAGAGAGAGAGAGAAAGCAAGTCACCAGGTCCAGAACCCAAAACCCACACTGCAGTTGGCAATGTGGG